TCTGATATGGGTGCTAGGAACTCAGGTTTCTGCTTACCCATCTCTCCAGCCCCTCATACATATAATTTAAAATAACAAAATGCTCTTTTTTAAAATGAACTTATTTATTCTATTTTATGGGTGTTTTGCCTGCGTGTCTGCGTAGTGTGATTATTCAGTGCCTGAATAATCCAGAACAGGGCAGCAGGTGCCCTGGAAGCGGAGTCACCTGGGTGCTGGGAATCAAACCCAGGTCCTGTGGAAGAGCAGTCTGTGCTTGTAATCACTGAGCCATCTCTCCAACCCCTAGAATAGTAACATATTCTTAAGAGGCTTACTTGGGGCTGGAGTGAGAGTCCAGTTGATAAAGAGCTTGCTTTGCACTCAACCCCCTGGGATCTATGTTAAAAAAAAATTAGAATAAACAAATTACCAGGTAAGATGGCTCAGTCCTAACTCCAGCACTGGGGAGACAGGGACAAGAGGATCCCCAAGGCTCATTGGCCAGCTACTCTAACTTCTTGCCCAGTTCCAGATCAGTGAGAGACCCTGTCTCAAAAGTCAGGGTACAGATGAATCAAGGGGTGAAGGCAATTGCTGTCAAGCCAAAATCATTTCACTTCCAGGGGCCCTGCATAGTAGAGGGAACGGGCCAACTCCTTCAAGTTGCCCTCTGACCTCTACATGTGCCCCCAAAACACACACACACGCTTACGCACATGCACAGATTAATAGGAATGACAGCCAAAGTTGTCCTCTTCCTACCCAAGCGAGCACACATGCCCATGCCCAAGTGAGCATACATGCGCATATGCCCACACCCAAGTGTGCACACATGCCCTTGCCCAAGCATGCACACATGCCCATGCCCAAACGAGCACACATGCCTATGCCCAAGCGAGCATACATTCCCATATGCCCATGCCCAAGTGTGCACACATGCTCATACCCAAGCGAGCACACATGCACATTCACCACACACATAAATAAGAATTAAAAAGGACTCTGCTGTTGGGCGGTGGTGGCGCACACCTTTAATCCCAGCTCTCGGGAGGCAGAGGCAGACACATCACTCTAAGTTTAAAGCCAGCCTGCTTGACAAGAGTAGGCTCCAGGACAGCCAGGGCTGCTACACAGAGAAACCCAGTCTCGAAAAACCAAAAGGAACAAACAAACAAACAAAGGACTCTGCCTTGAAAACAAAAGATGAATAAAAAAATAAGAACTAATTAAGCTCACGTTGAGTTCCCCTGCACCACTTTGTCTACGCCTCCAGGCATACGGTTGAACTACCGGTAGTGACCCTAAAGGGTCGTTCCATAAACACAGGGCTTAGATACTTAGAGGCATAGCCACAAGACTCAGAAGGCATCATCTCTTGTGCCCTGTATCCTGTGATTTAAGGTAACTAATTTGGCCTTTTTCCTTAGTTTCTTAAATTCCAAAATGAGATATGGGTTGGGGGGAGTTACAGTGGGGAGATTCCGGTTCTTCCAGTAAACCTGAGCTCTCTCTTGTGCAGTCTCCATGGGGAGGATAGGGAAGCAGAAGGAATGAGAGGAAAGATGCAGCCGTCTGAGATCTAAAAGGAGACAGTAGGTGGCAAGTCCCCCTGCCCTGGTGTTGTTCTTACACACTTTGCTTCTTACTTTAAAGACGGGCTATTCCTAGCATGACCTGGGACTCTGCCCCTGCTGACCTGCTCCTAAAGCACTTGGATCCCGAATCGGAACTTCTTTACTGGTTTATACATAAACACACAGGAAGAGCCTGTTGAAGCTGGCTTTGCTCAGTCTGGAAAGGGGTGTACGTAGTGATATTTCCTGTGTGCAGCCCACGACACAATACATTTGTCTACGTTTATCTCCAGCCCTGTTCCTGTTCCAGCCGGGTTCTGTGGAGCCCCGTGGGAAGCAGATCTAGCTTCAGCCTATCTTGGCTCACATTTCATTCTTTTTGGGGAGGCACACAAAGAGGAGGATACTGTAGGTCTGGTCTACTCAAGACTCTGGAAACTTGGTTTGAACTTGTTGGGAGCTACCGAACTCCTCCGCAAACTCAGGTCCCAAGGGGAACCACAGAAATGTCTCCACATCTCCCTGCTGTCCTTTGGAAGAAATAACCAAAAGTATAGCCTGGGGCCATGCCACTTGCCTGCCTCCATGGTCCTTTCAGCTCCATCCTCCCAGCTGCTTTTCTACCCATTAGACCACAAGGAGTATGTTTCAAATTCCCAAATTTTGATATCATTCCTTTAAACTGGATTCTCTGGCAGATCTGAACAGTTTTGCTTACTGAAGATAAACTTACTATTTCAGCCTATTTAAGCTAGTCCATTGCAGGACAAGGTGGTTCATGCCTTTGAATATAAGTTTGAGGCCAGCCTAGTCTTCATAATGAGTTCTGGGACAGCCTTGGCTGTAGAGTGAAACTTCATCTGTAAACAAACAAATAGGACCTGGTTACAGGCGGCCTGTTACCAGCATTTAGGAGGTGAGGGGGGTGGGGATTAAAATTTCAAGGTCACTTTAGGTCACATAGGAAGCCCCCAGGCCAGCCTAGGGTACACAAAACCCCATCTCAAAAGTTTAACAAAAGACCACCAAAAAGCAGCCAGATGGTTGCATTTAATCCCAACTCAGAAGCAGAAGGATCTCTGTAAATTTGAGGCCAGCCTGGTCTACAGAGCGAGTTCCAGGACAGCCAGGGCTACACCAAGAAACCCTGTCTCGAAAACCAAACAAGAACAACAATGTCAGTTTATTTATTCCATGGAGAAAATTTTGTTTTCTCATATTGTTTTTCCTAAATAGAGCCATCAAGGGTTTGGGGAATGGAACAGGAGGGGCAGGGTGGCCCTGCCCTAGGAAGTCAGACCTGGAGTGCCCTCACTGCCCCTTATTAGGAGTCAGTAGGGAGTGCTCCCTCGAAAGGATGCCACTGTCAGCCATTCCCGCTCACGGGTGGGAGGAAGTCAGTGCCGTGGAGGACTTTGGTTACGTTGGCAAGTAATTCAGAACACGGTGAGAGGACCAGTGAGATGCCTCCGTGGGTAAAGATGCTTTCTGCCAAAGCTTTGATGCCAGAGACCCACATGGTGGAAAGGAAACCAGCTCCAACTGGTTATCACTCTGACCCACATAGGCTTGCCATGGCCTCTCTCTCTCTCTCTCTCTCTCTCTCTCTCTCTCTCACACACACACACACACACACACACACTCACCATACACAATACACCATACACAGCACACATAACACACACAAATACACAACATACACAAAAATAACTTTAAATAAATAATAGAAAACATGGGGGGCTGGGAAGGCTTGCCTGGCATGTCCGAAGACCAGGCTTTAGTCCGTAGCACGGGTGGGGGGGAGGGGAGTTCCTCTCTTTCACCCTGAGATCACCATGACTGATACTCATCCCTTACAGAGGTGCTTCCTTGTGGGGAGGTGGGGGAGAGACTGGCTCTTTCTAGTTGCTCTGTCTTCTAGCTGCACTACAATTCACTGAGCTGAACTGACCATACACTACGTGCGTCTCTCTCCATTGTAGCACTGAATTCTAATTGGTCTTAATAATGAAAACTCGGAGTCAGCTATCAGGGGGTGAAAGCGAAGGATCAGAGAAGCAGAGCGGCAGCCACCAGAGTTCTCATCCCTACCAAGCCTGTCCTCAGGCTGACTGCCTACACTGCAACCTGCCTCTGTCTCCCGAATCCTGGGACCAGAGGTGTGTGCTGCCATCCCCTGGCCCCTAGCGGCTTAGCTCTACACTCTGATCTTCAGGTAAATTTTATCTGTTAAAACACAAACAGGAGACCACTACACTCCATCACTGTGTGGCATTATGATTTTACTTTTGTTTTGAATCAGGGTATGTAGCTCAGGCTAGCTCCCAGACTCACAGTTCTCTTGCCTCAGCCCTTCAAGCGCTGGAAACTCAGGGGTGTGCTGATGTGTGCGTGTGTGTGTGCATGCATGTGTGCGTGCGTGTGTGTGCATATACGTATTTGTGCGTGTGTTTGTGTGTGCGTGTCTGTGCGCGTGTTGGTGTGCGCATGCGTATTTGTGCGCATGTGTGCGTGCGCATGTTTGTGTGTGTGCACGTGTGCATGTTTGTGCACGTGCGCGAATATGTGTGTGTGTGTGTGTGTGTGTGTGTGTGTGTGTGTGTGTGTGTGTAGACAAGGCTTGCTTTGTAGTCCTAGTAATCACTATATTGCCCGGGCTGACCTAGACTCACGGCATTACTCTTGCCCCAGTCTCTCCCAAGTGATGGGATTACAGGTGTGTACCACCAGGCCCAATGTATTCATGTTGCTTTAAACCATTTTCCTTCCCATTTGAGGTCTTTGAACCAAGTTTATATCGGATTGCTAGCTTCTTTCTCCATATACTACCTAGTAGCAGTACCTGGCAGGGTGTCTCAGGCAGGCTCTGCCTAAATTGACCCAGTTTCTCTAAGGAGACAGTTGCTTGGCTGCTGGTATAGGGAGGAGGAGCTTTGAGGGGTGGCGAGTGGGAAAGCAGAGAGTCATGTGCTGTGGGAAGCTTTGGGTAAAGAGTGAAGTCCATCTACTGTTTGGCTCCTAGCCTTCAGAGAACAAATACTGAGTGCTGGGTGGTCGTGGCGCACGCCTTTAATCCCAACACTCAGGAGGCAGAGGCAGGCGGATCTCTGTGAGTTTGAGGCCAGCCTGATCTACAAAGCAAATTCTGGGACAGGCTCCAAAGTTACAGAGAAACCCTGTCTCAAAAAGTCAAAAACCAACAGAAAGAAAGGAAGGAAGGAAGGAAGGAAGGAAGGAAGGAAGGAAGGAAGGAAGGAGAAAAGAAACCCTCTCCTACAAGGGTCACTCTAAAGAAAACAAATTTTCAATGTATTTAATTATTTATTTGTTTACTTATTTATTTTGCTTTGCTTTGTTTTATATTGTTTGAGACAAGGTCTTCTGGAGCCCAGGGTGGCCTTAAACTCAATTTTGTATCTGAGAATGACCTTAAACTTCTGTCCTCCTGCCTCCACCTCCTGAAGGCTAGAATGACAGGTGACACTGTGGCAGGAATTCAGCTCACGGCTTTGTGCGCCCTGGGCAAGCGCTCCATCATCTGAGCTTCTCAAAGGAAGCCACCCAGTGTAAAGGAAAGAGCGCACCTCAGGGACGCGGAGCGGTAGGTGTCTCGGTGGCTAGGAGCTGCGCTGCTCTTGCAGAGGACCTGCCCTGGGTGGCACGCAATTGTAACTCCAGCTCCAGGACAGTCCAGTGCTTCTGGCCTCCCAGGACACCTGCAGTCACGTGCGCACACAAGCGCGCGCGCGCACACACACACTTTAAAATAATAATAAAAAGATAAATCTTTAAAGGAAGAGCGTGCCGCAGAGAAGCAGGAGCGCTGTGCTCTAATTCTGGTTTCAGTGGTGACAAGCCTTGGGCATCAGTTTAACTGCATTAAGGCTCAGTTTTTCCAAACAGAAAGCGGGAACAGCCTCTCCCTTCTGCACGGGGGAGGGGACATTTGAGGTCAGTCATGTGTAACACTTTGATCTTTGTAGTTGTTTTTGAAAGAGGTCCCAAAGGCCATTGGTGGAGCCGATGGTTTTTGAGCAGAGCCTGGTCTCCTGTGCCTTGGGGTCTCTGGCCACCTCGAGATTTGTGGTAGACCCAAAGGGTGTGAGTTGTCCGACCGTGCACACTCGGACTCTTGTAATCATTGTCCCCTGGGGAAGTTTAAGCAACCACTCAGACTCGTGGCTTGTTGGAACTGGAAACGCAGCTCAGAACCGTGGCTTGTTTTAAAATTCTGGTTCCAAAGCTCAGTCTATCCCGGGAGGTCAAGACAAGAGGAGTTGAAAATAATCTTAGAATTGTTCCCATACAGCCAGGATCCCTAAGGGTGATGCTGGGAACCTCTGGTGAGATGAAAGGGAGAATTGCTTTGCAAGAGTGAACACAGCCTGCGTTTCATGCTTTCGCAGAAGGTCAGGACAGGAAAGCAGACGCTTCTCCCTGTGAGCCTGTCCACGTTCCCTCAAGATAGCATTACGAACAACCCACCCCGTCATCTACCTGCCTTAGTGAACACCTTCCACGGTCGGGACCTTGGCGCATCGCAGGTTGTTTCTCAGCTTCGGTTCACGTTCATTTCTACAGAGCTGCCCCTGAGGCATTTATCTCTACTAGGAGAGTGGAAAAGCAATTTGGGATGTATATAAATTTCCTGGGGCTGGAGAAGTGGCTCAGGGGTTAGAGTACTGACTGACTGCTCTTCCCAGAGATCCCAGCACCCACATGGCAGCTCACAAGTGTCTGTAACTCCAAGATCTGACGCCCTCACACAGACATACATATACGCAAAACAACAATACACATAAAATAAAGATAAATAAATTATATTTAAAAATAAAGTTCCACCACATAGATTTTTTTAAAGATGCATTTATTTCATTATATGGGTATGTGTGCTTACCTGTATGTAAAGAACATCATGTGTGTACAGTGCCCCTAGAGTTCCAAGGAGGACATCTGGTTTTCTTTTTTCTTTTTCTTTTCCTTTTTTTTTTGTTTTTTTGTTTTTTTGTTTTTCGAGACAGGGTTTCTCTGTAGCTTTGGAGACTCCTGGAACTAGCTCTTGTAGACAAGGCTGGCCTTGAACTCACAGAGATCTGCCTGCCTCTGCCTCCCAAATGCTGGGATTAAAGGCGTGCGCCACCAACACCCAACTGACATCTGTTTTTTTGAGAGGGGATTATTTTTATTTTATATGTAAGAGTGTTTGCCTAGATGAATGTCTGCGCTCCGTGTGTGCAGTGCCCACAGAGGCTGGAGGAGAGCATGGGATCCATGGGATCTATGGGATTAGAGTCACAGACAGCTTTGAGCAGCTATGCAAGCACTGGGAATTAAGCCCAGGTCCTCTGGAAGAGCAACCAGGGCTCTTAACCACAGAGCCATCTCTCCAGCCCCAAGATCTTTTTCTATAGAGTTTCTCTGTATAGCACTGGCTGTCCTGGAACTCCAACTGTAGGCCAGGCTGGCCTCAAACTCACAGAGATCTGCCTGCATCTGTCTCTTGAGTGCTGGGATTAAAGGCATGTGCCACCACCTCCCAGTTCTCTCCTCTCTCTCTCTCTCTCTCTCTCTCTCTCTCTCTCTCTCTCTTTCTCCCCAAAGGGTCTTATTATGTAGCCTAGAACTAGATTTCATAGACCAGGCTGGCCTTGAAATAAGAGACCCATTTATCTTTGCCTCCCAAGTGCTGGGATCGCAGACATAAACCACCACGGCTACCTCTAAATATAATTTTTTCTTGTCCTCCTCCCAAGGACTCCACTGCAATAAATTATCACTTTAATTGTTTAATACTCTGCTATTTAATTTCTCATAAATAGACTAGCATGCATTTTAAAATTCTTTCTGACCAGGCAGTGGTGACCCATACCTTTAATCCCAGTACCCAGAAGAAAAAGTCAGGCAGATCTCTGAGTTCAAAGCCAACCTGGTCTATACCTTGAGTTCTAGGACAACCAGGGCTACACAGAAAACAACAAAACCAAATCAAAACAAAAAACCAACTCTTTCTTTCTTAATTATTTATTTTTTGAGACAGAATTTCATGTAGCCCTGGCTGGCCTCATACTCACTATGTAGCTGAGGTTAGTCTTGAACCCTGATCCTCCTCCTCCTTCTTCTTCCTAAGTGTTAACAGTTGTATGCACTTTTTTTTCTTTAAAATAAACATAGTGGGGCTGGAGAAATGATTCAGAGGTTAAGAGCAATTATTGTGTTGCAAAAGACTCGTGATCAGTCCCAAAGCCCCCACATTGGCTCATAAACATCTGTAACTTCGGTTTCGGGTGATTCACTGCCCTCTTCTGGCCTTCTCAGACACTGCACCCATATGGTACAAATACATACATACTGGCAATAACACTCATACACACCAAATCAAATTTAAACATATTTTTAAAAATTAAAAAGAGCCGGGCAGTGATGGTGCACACCTTTAATCCCAGCACTCAGGAGGCAGAGGCAGGTGGATTTCTGTGAGTTCGAGGCCAGCCTGGTCTACAAGAGCTAGTTCCAGGACAGGCTCGAAAGGTACAGAGAAATGCTGTCTCAAAAAACTAAAAAAAAACTAAAAAAAAAAAAAACTAAACTAAAAAAAGGAAGGAAGGAAGGAAGGAAGGAAGGAAGGAAGGAAGGAAGGAATTAAAAAGAAGCCAGGAGGCAGTGGTACATGCTTTTAATCCCAGCACTTGGGAGGAAGAGACGTGGGGTGGGGGTTCTCTGTGAATTCAAGCCAACCTGATCTACAACTCAAGTTCCAGGACATCTAGGGTTACACAAAGAAATTTTGCCTTGAAAACAAACAAACAATGAATAAAAAAATTAAAAATAAAATAAGTTGGGTGGTGGTAGCGCATGCCTTTAATCTCAGCACTTGGGAGGTAGGGACAGGTGGATCTCTGTGAGTTTGAGACCAGCTTGGTCTACAGAGTGAGTTCCAGGACAGTCTCCAAAGCTACAGAGAAACCCTGTCTTGAAAAACAAAAAACAAAACAAACAAATAAATAGAATAAACATCAACCAGGGAAAGGCCATTTGAAAGTCTAGTCATGGGAGTCAGGTGTGGTGATGCAGGACTTTAATCCTTGGGAGACAGAGACAGGCAGATCTCTATGAGTTTGAGGCCAGCCTGAGGCCTGATCTACATAGAAAGTTCCAGGACAGCCAGAGTTATAGAGAAAACAAACAAAAACAAAGAAAGGAAAGTTTAGGCATGGGGTGTAGAGGTGGTACAGTGTTTGACTAGCATGGTTGAGGCTATGGGTTTCAGCACACAAAGATAAAATATTTATTATACCTTCAGCAGAGTTGTCAGTGAACCTTGAGGGGGCTTCTCTCCTATCACCCTACCTTCTGCTACACACACCCCAAAAGAAAATACCTATAAATAACTGAGCATGGCTTTTCCCCCCTACCTAAATCTCATTACATAGTCCAGGCTGGCCTGGAACCCAAGATCCTGTAGCCCTTGCTTCCTAGTGCAGGAATTGCAGGCATGTAATGGCATCCATGGTCCGACTCAGCTTCTTTTCCCTCCCACCCTTTAGCGGAAGTCTGCCCCTTCTATGACACTGTTTCTTTCTTTTTTTTTTTAAATATTTATTTATTTATTTATTATGTATACAATATTCTGTCTACGCATATGCCTGGAGGCCAGAAGAGGGCACCAGACCTCGTTACAGATGATTGTGAGCCACCATGTGGTTGCCGGGAATTGAACTCAGGACCTTTGGCAGAGCAGGCAATGCTCTTAACCACTGAGCCATCTCTCCAGCCCCGACACTGTTTCTTTGCTTCTCTAGGGCAGAAGTGTAACCCACCTGCTACACCAGCCCCACTGAAGAGCAAAGGCTCACCCCAAAATCCAGAACCACTCGGCTACTGTGACTGTGTCTCTCTCAGAGGCTTAAGAGTCCTAGACAACTTACGAGGCAAGAGACAGGCACGCATACAGTGAGTTCCAGACCAGCCAGGGCTGCAAGTCTCAGTGAATAAATAAATAAATAAATGTGGGCTGGAGGAAATCTTTGCGTTTATAAGTCAGGATGCATTGTCTACTTCCCAGGACCAAAAAAAAAAAAAAAAGTTTTTGTTCTGACCCTTTAGATTTCTTATTTATTCTAGAATGTAAAAACCAAAAGCACCTCATCCTTCCCCACCTGTGGCTCTAACAGCCGGTCTCTCCTCTTTCAACAGGATCTTTTTAGGATGGACATAGAAGACTGCAATGGCCGCTCCTATATGTCTGGTATGCCTACTGTGTGTTCCGTTCGGATGGGCGTGGGAGCAGACACTGTCCTGTGGATGAAGGCAGAGAGCCTTCAGCCCTGGCACACGACTTCTACTTGACTAAATGTCAGTCGCAGCTGCCCCTCAGGGCGGCCGTGCTTGGAGGTAGTGTGCAATCCCTTGTGGTTTTATATTCCTAATGGTGGTTCTTTTCTGTACCATGGAGAGGGAACGGAATAAAGATGGGAATTATGAAATGGATGATCCGGAGTAAGCGGGTGGGAGGAAAATGTGGTTCTTTCTCCTGTGTTATGAGGTCACCAGAACAGAATTCTGTCCCATCCAAGTAGAGTGGACCGTCTTCAAAAGCCTTAAAATGGACTGGGCGGTGGTGGCGCTCGCCTTTAATCCCAGCACTCGGGAGGCAGAGGTAGATGTATCTCTGTGAGTTCAGTGCTAGCCTGGTCTACAGAACAAGTTCCAGGACAGGCTCCAAAGCTATACAGAGAAATCCTGTCTCAAAAAAACAAAGAAAAAAAGAAAGAAAAGAAAAAAATTGGCCAGGCGGTGAAGGCACCACACTCCTTTAATCCCAGCATTTGGGAGGCAGAGGCAGGCGAATCTCTGTGAGTTCAAGCCAGCTTGGTCTACAAAGTGAGTTCCAGGACAGTCAAGGCTACACTGAGAAACCCTGTCTCAAAAAAACACCATAATATTTGTGTGTGTATGTATGTATATGTATTATACACATATATATTAACTTTTAGAATGTAAGGATCAAAGAAACAGGTATGGTGTGATATGGTATCATGCAGCTATAATTCTAGTACTTGAGAGGTTAACACAAGATCATGAGTTCTGAATCATCCAGAATTGTGAACCAAGATCCTAATTAAAGTTAAAAATAAAATGGCTGAGCCTGTCAAGGTGGAGCAGAAGCGGGCAGTTCCAGGCCAGTTAAGGGTGTATCACAGCCCTTACCTCAAAGCATCAACAACCAAACGTGGCACTGACTATGGTAGCCGTGATCTCAACACCCAGGAGCTAGAAGCAGGAGGTTCATGAACTCAAGGTTAGTTTACACTGCATATTAAGAGCCTGTCTCAGCCGGGCCATGGTGGCGCACGCCTTTAATCCCAGCACTCAGGACACAGAGTCTGGCAAATCTCTGTGAGTTCAAGGACAACCTTGTCTACAGAATGAGTTCCAGGACAGGCTCCAAAGCTTCACAGAGAAACCTTGTCTCAAAAAACCAAACCAAACCAACCAAAGAAAAAAATCTGTCTCAATAAAACAAGTCCAAGTACTATTGTGGAAATGAGCTATAAGGTGTTTTTACTAATTTTGTTTAAAGTGGAACCAATGAAGGGATTGTTGACTTGCTCTGATGGAAATAGCAAAATCAGCCAGACACACCTAAGACCCAGGGTCCTCATCTGGGCAGTCACAGAAAGATGCTGACTCTGTAAACTGTAAACTGGATGTAAACTGGATTAGGTGCAGGCATGCAGCGCTTGCCACATGCTGGGCAGAATGACACAGTTCAGATGGGCGGATTCAATTGAAAGAGGCCCTTCAGGCCTGGCCGTGTTAGTTTATGCCTTTAATCGCAGCACTTGGGAGGCAGAGGCAGGCGGATCTCTGTGAGTTCCAGGCCAGCCTGATCTACAGAGCTAGTTCCAGGACAACCAGGGTTACAGAGAAAGTTGTCTAAAAAAAAAAAAAAAAAAAAAAAAAAAAAGGGAAAAAAAAAAAAAAAAAAAAAAAAAAGAAAAATCTGGGGGGGGGGGGGGGGGGGGGGGGAGGAAGGAAGGGAGGGAGGGAGGAAAGAAGGAAGGAAGAAAAAAAGAAGAAAGGAAGGAAGGAAGCAAGGAAGGAAGCAAGGAAGCAAGGAAGGAAGGAAGACAGGCCCTTTCGAAGAACCAGCCAATTCTCCCACCTCTGGTTTGGTCAAGTCTATACTATTGAGCAAAAAGAGCACAGAGCACCCACCCATTTAGCGATGAATGGTTACCCTCAGATGGATAAAACCCAATTCCTGCCGTACGGTAGGCAATGGTGAAGCTGTGGAGCGGTGGGGGGGGGCATGCCCCATGGGCTCTTCCCAGTAAGCAGTGTCTCTGGAGAAGGTGGGCACCAGCAGGGAATTTCTGGGGCCGTTTGATTCACTGCACTAGGAAACCAAGCTTTCCTTGCTTAAGGTGGGTTGACATTGCTTAGCTGAGAAGTGGCCTCTGCCCAAACCATGCCACCTGTGTGTTTTGAGAACTCTAGATGTCAGTAGCTACCTTCTGAAAAGTCAGGGCAGGACTGACATTAAGTCTAAAGAGTGCCCTCTTCAGGGCTAGACAGGGCCAAGATGGTGCAACTGAGGTATCTAAGAACCCATTACTGACCCTCACCCCTCTCCCGGGCTAATCCAGAAACAGAGGGCTGCCCCCCCCCACCCCCGTGTCTAGCCTTTAACCAACCCCTTCTTGGGTCATCATAGCTCTGCCTGTGGGTAGATGGCTTTCCTTACTGGCCACCCTGATAAAAGGAGGCGTTCTCCTGTTCTTCAGGGATTTTACCACCTCAGAGAACCTGCTGAAAGCCCCTGCCCCCTTCCTTTCTAAAGGTACAGATAATTCCTATGGGGAGAAGGGGAGGAAAGCAAGATTTACTGGACAGATTCCCACCCTACCCCCACAACCCCCAAACCAGAAACTGAGTTGCTCAAATCAGGCAAGCAGCTGAGGTCTGAGGGAGCCGTACTTGCCCCGAGTATCTTGGTGCTGTGCAACATTTCAGGAGAACCTAAGGAAGGAAGGATGCAAGGATTGGCAACCCAAAGTTTCATGGCCCCTCCCACCCCCAAATTCTTGGAATCAGAAAATCCAGTCTTCCAAAGTAGGTCAGCTCAGTAGTGAGCAGTTTCTCTGGAAGGGAAGGGAGCAAGGGCTTTATCCTGATAGAGGACAGATTCATCCAGGACTCCAGCGGCTGGAGCCCCAGGGGCACAGGAGGGAGGGGAGGCAGGGAGCTGGAACCAGGGAACCAGCCATCAGAAAGAGCTCAGGGCCACAGATCTCCACTAGCCAGGCTAGACTGTGATGCTGAGGGCAGAGGGGGGCGGGGGTGGGATTGTCAGGAGGAGAAGTAGATGGACAGGAGACTGAGTTTGCTGTTGGGGGTGGGAGGGGTGGAGTTTTCTGCCACTTCTAGAGCCTGGAGGCTGCCCCTGTGTCCTGGGCCCCATGACCTCTGGGGCCTTGGCTTCCCTAGCTGGCAGAGGATTGGGCCTTCCCTGGGACACCCCCCCTTCTTCGTCCCCACAAGCCTGCCTGCCTCTCTCTCCCTCTCCGTGTCTCTCTCCCTCCCTCTCTCTCTCTCTCTCTCTCTCTCTCTCTCTCTCTCTCTCTCACACACACACACACACACACACACACACACTTGCCTCCCTCTCAAGCATTTGTTGTGCAGTTCTTCTTTGTCTTCTGGGCAGGAGGGCAAACACATCTGCCCCCCCTCCTTGTGCGCCTCCACTCCCACCCCTCCACTGTCTTAAAAGAAATGTTGTAGCCTAGCATCCCCCCCCACCACACACACTTGTACATTTTCTCCTGCCCCCTCCCCAAGCACATCCACGCCTCTCTCTCTCTCCAGTACACACACACACACACACACACACACACACACACACACACACACACACACACACGCCAGGCTCTTAGCACATACACCCTGGGCTGAGCGGTTCTTGCCGGCTGCAGCCGTGGGCCCCTGCTCACCGTGCCGCTGCCACTGCCTGCGAAATGACGGCGGTTCCCCTCACTTCCAGGAATCCACGCTTCCTGGAAGGTGAGTGGCTGGGCTCACCCCTGCCTGCCACCGAGACGCAGACATGCACACACCACCCGCACTCCCTCGCCGTTTCCAAGGCGGCGGCCGCGTTCGCACCCCAGGGTCTCACCGGCAAGGGAAGGATAATGTAAGTTCAGGCAGAAGGCGGCTAGCGGAGGGGGGAGGGGGGTGATGGGGCTAGGGAGCCAATTCAGTAACAACTCCCAAGCCTGAGGAGAGGGAAAGAATGGGGGCTGTGTGTGTAGCGGGGGAGGGGGCGTTCCTCCTTACACTTGGGGAGGATGGGAAAGGGTGTTTGGTGTTGCTAAGCGAAGACGGTGACTTGGACAGTGGGAGCTTGTGGTGACATCTTGGTTAGGCCTTGGGGACAGAGGCAGAGCAGCCAGGGGTGGAATGTCGAAACAGGCCTGGGTGGGAATGGATAGCAGAAAGACCTGAGGTGAGGAAGAGGAGCTTTGACAGCAGATGCTTCATCCTGGAACAGAGGTGTGAGGGGCCTCAGCCTCCTGCCCACAATAGAGCCGAGGATGGCTGTCTTTCTTTGCTCATGCCCTCACTGGTCCCTGAGAGCAGGCTAGCATCCTGCCACCTGGAGCCCATGGTCAAGAAGAGAAAGCAGAAAGATGAGGTCCCTTCCAGGGAGGTGCAGAGGCTTGCTGAGCTCCGGGCTCTTCCCCAGGGGCAACCACTCAAGGGATGCAGAAGAGGGCTGGTCTCCTTCGGTGTCTGAGATGCATTTAGCTGGTAGACGGCTTCCCGTTCCCTCCCCTCCCGCTTTTCTGCCCTTTCTCCACCTCCTAGTTGCTCTGATGTGAACCTCACAATTTAGCTTTGCTCCCTGGGGGTTCAGCCAATCCATGATGGCTTTGACCAAGAAAATGTCTCTGATACCTGAGAGCAGCCTTAATTCTTGGCTTTGACAGTCTGGGATTTCTTGGAAGTCCCAGGCATTTGAAATTCCCTCACTGGGGTTTCTGGGGCTGAGAGGTTTGGGAACTGATGAGTTTCCCAAATCTGACTTTTGTCCCTGTCACCCTCAGGCTAGAAATCTAAATCCCTGGAGCCCTACAAAGACCTTCTGGCCTTTGACACAGATTCTGTCTTAGGTTTTAGTGCCATGAAAGTAGACTTGAGTCTCTCTCCCCTCTCACCTTTATCCTAGGAATGACACCAGCATCAAAGAGCCTCTGTGATTACTGGTGCGCCTCGAGGCTCCTGCTTTCCCTCCTGTTTCCAGCCCTTCATTGGGAGAGCCACAAAGAATGCTCTCCTCTCAGTGTCCCCAAGTATCCCCCAGCTAGCTAGCCCCTAGGCTCAGAGGCAGCCTCAGCTCCAGGAGGCGGGGACCAAGTATGGATTTCCAAGAAGCTCCCTCATCATTTAGGACCAAGGCTTTAACAGGTCCCTCCTTACCCATGTTGAGTGATTTGGAGCAAGTCAGCACTAGCCTTTGGGAAGGAGTGAGAGGCCAGGTGTGGTGCATGCCTGTCATCCCAGCGCTTGTGGGGGAGGCCGAGGCAGGAGGAGTGTAACTTACTTAGCCGTTTCCAGCCTGTCTCACCTTCCAACCGCAGTAAACTCAGGTGAAAGGTCACGTGTTAAAACTGGGCTTGAATCTACAATGGTTCGGAGCTGCTTACATCATGGTTTGTGTCTGGTGCTGACTTCAGGCAACTTTTTAAGAAAACCGTTATTCGCCTAGGGAGCCTCAGCTGGGGGAAGTTGGGCTCAAGCCATAAGACTTTTTCTGTGGCTGGTGAACAGGGTTCCTCGGGCTTCCGTGGGCTAGAATGGGGAAGGGGACTTTAGGAAAAGATGTGAATGGGAAATGGTCCCAAAGTCCTGAGTGGTTGTTTTCTTCCCACTGACCAAAGCTGGAGAGGGATCCCTCAGGAGGGTGTGTTCCGGATTTCTTGCCTCAGGCCCAGGACTCCAACCATTTTATAATGGAATCTTTATTTTGTGAAAGTAAGTATGGGTATAGTCGGGAAGCGGGGTAAAGCGCTAACCTAGGTGGACTTTAGGGATGAATTTTAGGGTCTCTCTCTCTCTCTCTCTCTCTTTCTCTCTCTCTTCCATGTTTAGGCCTTTGCGCATATACCCATGCATGCTCATGTTAGCAGATAATATAGACGGCTGTGATGTTTACCCCAGTAGGTACGTTCTCTTTATGTGTATCTACCTATGTGATCTGTGTTTGTGTGTTTCTCTACATGTGCTTTTATTTCACTCACATATTTGTGCAGAAAATTGTGGGGAGGGGTTAATTTTGAAGACAATCATGTTTTCCAGGTATGTTACCAGATGTTTAAAAGACGTAATTGCAAAAGGCATTTTTACAAAGTATTTGGTCAACAAGTTGAAATAGATGCATTGAGGATAGTTGATACTTAGCTCTCAAGAGAACATGAAACAGTAAATATGGAATCAGTCTCGGATCAGCTAGAAAACTTTCTAGATTCTTCAAAGCTGATCCTGACTCACCCCCAGTGGGTAGGAGCTGGCCAAGCCAAGGCCAAGGACTCAGCACTCTGGTCAGTGGCCCCACCCCAGCTTAGGCAGGTAGTGAACTTCTTCTGCATCTCCTAATCCAAAGAATTAAAGTGATACTGTAGCCCCATTTCATAAGGTGGTCGCAAAGCATGAAGGAGAACGTGCGTTCCAAGCTCATAGACTAAGCCTGGCATTAAGGGTACACTCACTAGATAGTAGCTGCCGACATTATTGTTAACAAGCATTATCATCAGGTTCTGGACAGCTCTAGATGCCTCCTGCAGATTCCAAAGCTGCTACTGGGAGCTTCAGAGAGAACAGTAGGAAAGAATGTCCTGTGCCACCTTCTCATCGGGTTCCTGTTCTCTGTTCTGCCCTGGCCCGCCCAGCCCTGGGCCTGCTTCCTGCAAAGTTAGGCACCCGGTGATGCTCTTCCCCTCAGGCACAGATAAAGGTAGGGTAGGTCAGACTCGGCTGTTGAGTTCACGGAAGTCATGATCACCATTGGGCACCAGGCCTCTGGGGCACAAGGTAGGGTTCTCCCATTCGGCCTACCTTGTACGTGGCTATAGGATAAACGCTTGTGATATTTAACTGGAGCTTTTTAAAGATTAGTTAGCAGACTGTAGAGGCTCTAGCCCAAACTTTACCTGAGATCTGTTCTCTCCTCCAAGGTAGCGGGGACTCATCTCTGGAGAAGGAGTTCCTCGGGGCCCCAGTGGGGCCCTCGGTGAGCACCCCAAACAGCCAGCACTCTTCGCCCAGCCGCTCACTCAGTGGTAAGTGTGACCCTCTCTCCACTCCTGGCACTGGGCAGCTGCAGTTTTGTTTGGCCTTCAATTTGCCTTCTCCTGGCCACCGTTTCCCCATCATCTCCTGCTTCCATGCTCAGGGACTCGAGGTGGGAAGGAGCCCAATGCCTACTGTTCTCCTAGCTTCTGGAAAGAGTAAATAGCTAATGCCAGACTGGGGTGAAACCAAAAGGCGTATGGGTAACATTAAGATAAAGGTTCCAGCAGGGCATGGCGGGGCAGGCCTTTAGTCCCAGCACTCGGCAGGCAGAGGCAGGTGGCTCTCTGAGTTCAAGGCTAGCCTTGTCTACAGAGCGAGTTCCAGGACAGCCAAGGATACACAGAGAAACACTATGTGTGTGGCAGAGGTGTGTGTGTGTGGGGGGTAAAGGTCCCAAAGAAAAATTCTGGAATTGGAAACAGAAGTGGCCATTGGGTAGGGAGAGGTAGAAAATGAACAGTACCAAGATTTCCCCACCTCCTGCCAGGCAAGGTCCCCCCCGAATGCCCCTCCCCAGCTGGCCCTAGATCTGTGACATTCTCTAAATGGTTGAAATAGCCAAGAATGTAGGTCAGAGCTAGTGCCAAAGCTCTTCCCGCGTCCCCTCAGGTTCCTAGGAAGAGGCATGGGGTTCTGTCTTCAGTTCTGCTCAGGTGGCCCTGCTGTCCCCTCCGCCTCCCCAGGGCCACTTTCCAGCCACTGTCACACGCTGGCTCCCTGCCCGAGGCCAACCCAGGCATCTGTCTTTCTTTCTTTCTCTTTTCTTTTTTTTTTTTTTCTCCTTTTTCTTTTTCAGACAGGGTCTTGCCATGTAGCCCTGGCTGACCTGGAACTCACTCTGTAGACCAGGCTGGCCTTAAATTTACACAGATCCACCTGGCTCTGCCTCCTGAGTGCTGGGACTAAAGGCGTGCGCCCGCCACCGCCCTACCAAACATCTTTCTTAGTGACAAGAGAGTGCAGGCTCTAAGTCATCTCTTCTGCCCGCTGACAGAAGACATCCTGTGCATTCCTCTCTTTTTTTCTTTTAAACTCTAGTTACCTGGTGGGTGGTAGGTGGGAAAGACTGTTTCCAGTTCAGGAGACTACTGGAACAACACCTGACATAATAAATGGGCGATTGCCCTTCCTAACACTGTAAGCCTCTGAGCTCACAGTCTCCCTGTTGAACTGTCAAAGTGCCGCCGTTCTGCCCTGGACGTGGTTGTCCCTTTGCCTGTCCCCATTCTAAACGTCAGTCCCCTGACCCCCAGCCAACTCCATCAAGGTGGAGATGTACAGCGATGAGGAGTCGAGCCGACTGTTGGGGCCAGACGAGCGCCTCCTGGACAAGGATGACAGCGTGATCGTGGAGGACTCCTTGTCGGAGCCCTTGGGCTACTGCGACGGGAGTGGACCAGAGCCTCACTCCCCTGGTGGCATCCGGCTGCCCAATGGCAAGCTCAAGTGTGACGTCTGTGGCATGGTCTGTATCGGCCCCAACGTGCTCATGGTTCACAAGCGCAGCCACACCGGTGAGTGAGGCCGGGGCTACAAGGCAGAGGGGCGCTAGGACATTGGTAGGGAGGAGGCTGAAGAGACCCACTGCAGGGGTGGGGGTGACTCAGACAGCAAAGGGCAGATCAGAGGAGCATGTTTTCTAGTTGACAAAGGAGAGAAAGGGATGTGAGCCCTTCGGAACATCTGTACCTTCCTGGCCCTTCCCTTCAGCTGTTGTGACAAAGAATCTGCTCCTTTGCTCAGGGCGGAGAGAGAGTGGGCGTTGGGGCCTCTAGAAGGATTCCTGACGCTCAGTCCAAGAAGGACAGAGCTCCAGGGCCTTCCCATCTCATTATTTAAAAGGTGGTGTTGCAGGGAACCTCTGCTTACCCTCCTCAGACTGAACTCTCTGGACAGAATGAACTCTGAGCTGATGAGCTTAAATAATTATTCTTATCAGTAAAAGAACAGGAGTCAGATATTGGGGTAACAATCCGAATGATCAGAGAAGCTGTGGAGAAGCCACCCGTCACCTCCTACCAATATCTGACTCCCCATCTTTATTTTTCCTTCTTTTTTTTTTTTTTAAAAAAATTGATTTTTATTGAGCTCCACATTTTTCTCTGGACTCCCGATCTTTTACTGATTAGTTGGCCAGGCAGTGACAGTCGAGAAGTAGAGGCAGGCAGATCTCTGGGAGTTCAAGGCCAGTCTGGTCTGTAGAGCGAGTTCCAGGACATCTAGGGCTGTTACACAGAGAAGCCCTGTCTTTCAGCAGGTCTTCTAGGCTCTGCGGGGCTTTTAGGCCACACACCTCTAATCCACACCTATCCAGGGTAAGAGGGCCTGGTATGGGTGGCACTCACTGCCCTCCCGAGTGTGCTCAGAGAACTTTCCCTTCTCCCTCGGACACCCCTCAAGCCAGTCCCCTGGAACCTGCTCTTCCACCTGCAGGGGAACGGCCCTTCCACTGTAACCAGTGCGGGGCCTCCTTCACACAGAAGGGGAATCTGCTGCGTCACATCAAGCTGCACTCCGGCGAGAAGCCCTTCAAATGTCCCTTCTGCAACTATGCCTGCCGCCGGCGTGACGCGCTCACCGGCCACCTCCGCACACACTCAGGTCAGTGGCTATCCAGCCGGAGCAAAGAGAGTGGCACCCAGCATGCTCAGAAAAGAGCTTCAAGACCTCTCTGCCCTGGGGAAGGACAATGTCTTTCACTGAGGGCTGGGAGCATTCGCGGAGCTCTGACAGCGCAGATAGCTGACTCAGGAGGAATTTGCGGGGCTCGTCCTTGGGTTTTTTGTTTGTTTATTTGTTTTGTTTTGTTTTTCCAGACAGTGTAGCCCTAGCTGAGCTGTCCGTGAACTCACTGAGACCCGCCTGCCTCTGCAGGTTTAAAGGCACACGCCCCCAGAGCCTGACATTCACTGGGGTATTTTACTGCCACATTCTGTGACATGCAGCAAAGTGCATGGTTAATGTTCCTGGCTTGTCCCTGACCTTTGTTTTCTAAGCGTTTCAGTGTTGCTGACACTGTATGTGTCCCCTCGCCCTAACTCTGAGCCCCTGGGTGGCTCCTTCCCTCTCTCATTTGCACTAGGACCTACTCTGGGATTATCTTTCCTCCACTGTTACTCCCAGGAAACCGAAGGTGTTGGACAATCGCTGCAGGCCCTCCCTCTACTTCCTAGCACTTCCCATGAATATCCACGGGCCCCCAAACTGAAAGGAAGAGAGCTACGACTTCCAAATAGGAAAGGACTCTCCCTTTTCTGTTCTGCGTCCTAAGAAATGGTGATTTTCTCATAGACAAAAGCAAATCTAGGGGAACCCAGGGGTCAGTACTGGAGAAGCAGAGGCAGGAAGGTCAAACATTTAATCAGTTTGGGCTCTGTGAGACCCTTTCTCAAAATAACAAAATAAATGAAAGCCTTTGAATTGGAATCGTTTGGAAGAAACTGGAGAAATAATGCTTTAGGTGTTTTACTAAGTGTTGGCCTCCTGGCTGGTTTGAACAGGCAAGGAAAGGAGAGCTGAGGGTTGAGGAGAAGAAAGAAGGTAAAGAATTAATTGTCGGGCTGGTTGATGGTTGCACACGCTTTTAATCCCAGCACTCGGGAGGCAGAGGCAGGCAGATCTCTGTGAGGTCGAGGCCAGCCTGGTCTACAAAAGCTAGTTCCAGGACAAACTCCAAAGCTACAGAAAAACCCTGTCTCAAACAACAACAAAAAAAAAACAAACAAAAAAAACCCAAAACAAACAAAAAAAGAATTAATTGTCTGGCCTCAGAATCTTCCACAGGCTTTTCTCTTTTCCTAAGCCCTTTGACTCGGACTTAAAGGGATGGAGAGGCACTGTAACACTTCTGCTTCCTCTGTCCTGCCTCGTTTCCGATTCTCCCACGTAATGGGGACCTCTCTGTCCCTCTGCATGTGGAAGAAGAGGTACGGTGACATCACTAACTTAAGCTCATTGTAAGAATTTCAGACGCAGGCAAGGCAGTGAGGTAAGAATTCCAGGTGAAAATGCCCCACCTCCGGCACTCTGCTTGTTGAAACGAGGCCTCATGTATCCCAAGCTGACCTCAAACCCCCTGTGTAGCCAAGGACCTTCACTTTTTGACCCCAGTCTTCCTGCCTCTACCTCATGAGTACTGGGATTGCAGGGCACACCACCATTCCTGTGACCCACTGGAGACGGTTTCCCACACGCTAGGCAAGTGCAGTATCAACTGAGCTACAACCTCAGCCCTAAAGTTCCCCCCTCTGCCCTGCCCATTTATTTAACAAGGAAACTGTTGCTATGGAGAAGAAGATCAATGTTGTGGACTATAGTCTACCCTGTTTCCGTCAAGACCCCATGGCCAAACATGTGCTTCTTTTTCTCGGGGTCTCACTATGTAGCTCTGGCTAGCCTAGAACTTGCCATGTAGACCAGACTGGCTTCAAACCACAGAGATCCAACTACATCTGCCTCCCAAGTGCTGGGATTAAAGATATGTACCACCATGCCCTGCAGTCCCCCAAACTTTTGACAAGGTCAACTGCCCAGATATTGAATGTTGTTCCGTAGGAGACTAGGGGGAGAGCAGACATGTGTATCTCCCGTCTCTGTGAGATGCTTCCTATTACAAATCACAGGGTAAGGAAGGAGGTTTAGAGGGCTGGTCCCCTCCTGATGTGTCAAACCATTTCCCCTAGGGTCTCAATGGAGAGGCCCTGGTGCTCACTTCAACCCGTAAGCACTTACTCTGTCTAGAGATGAAGAGCAACCAACAAAGGCTGATTGAGTTGTAGCCGTAGATGTCTGTGGGCGAGTGATAGTCACCAGCTTCCCAGCGATGCCTCTGCCTCCCTGATCAATGATAGCAACAAACACAGATACACAGTACATTGTTCCTCTTTGAGTTTTTTCTCTCCTCTCACACTCAAAAGGATTGCCTCCTAAGAGTTGTGTTTAGCCAGGCGGTGGTGGCACACACCTTTAATCCCAAAACTCGGGAGGCAGGGGCAAGCGGATCTCTGTGAGTTCGAGACCAGTCTGGTCTACAAAAACAGCTAGGGCTATTACACAGAGAAACCCTGTCTCAAAAAAAAAAAAAAAACCCAAACAAACAAAACAAAAACAAACAAACAAAAAACACTCTGAACCTTTGAAACCTTAGTATAACAATAGCTTAGAGGAGAAAGAAATCTCAAAGAGTTGTTGTTTTTCACATACCTTAAATAACTTCCTTAGACTTTTATAGCTTGCATTTACACATCTTAAAACACTTTTTTTAGACCCTCACAACTTACTTAAGCTTCAAACCTTTTTATTTCCATCTAATCATTTACCACGAGGCACACGAAGTTAGTTACTGACAGCAGTCATTGCAAAACAAGTTTTTTTCTTCCTTTTTTTTTTTTTTAAATCAAGGAATGGTAAAAAAAAGTTACATCTGAAACATGTTTATCTTTTAAAATGAAGCCT